GATTAATGAGGTTGCAATCATTGTAAAGCCTTTTGACATGAAGAGTGAAATGAAAAGTAAACACAACTATAAACTGTTTTGCTGCTGCGGTGATTACAAATGTAATGTTAGTGCTCAGAAATGTGGCAGCTAATAAGTGTTACTGTGTTCCTGTGAAAGTTTGGTAATCAACATCAGTTAAGGCTGAGCAAATAATATACTGCTAAATCACAATTTTTCATATAATTCAAGTGAATGAATGACAGATAAGAACTGCAGAGGCCTGAAGTCCAATCTACACGGGGGGATGTCAGGGCATACCCCTGTGTCTGATCCAGGCACAAAAGAGGGAGGACAGGTGGTGATCAGGCAGGTAACTATTAATCATGTTTCCAGATGTCTACCTCTGAAAACCTCCTTATGACTTTTACATCCTCTAGATCAATATTGCTGACCAAAGCTCATTTCCTGTCATGTGCTGTCTGAAGTAAACAGTTCAAAACATGGTTTGGGCTTTTAAGGAGAGGTCAAAGTGGAATGCTGCAAAGAAAAGGCGTGTGCTGAATTCATAACACAGTAAAAAAAAAAAAGGTCTTAATATGGTCATTTAAGACTATTTTACTTTGTTGCTTGCCACTCTTAAAACTCCAGGAAAAACCAGTATGTTAACATCAGAGGTGGGACACACCAGCCACCACAAAATACAATGTGATCACAATATTTTGCCATTTTTCAGTATGGTAAGTATTGCAATAACATATAGTGAGATTTGTAACCTTCTTCAACTGCAAATGATGTCCTCAAATTGAAAGTTTGTCAATATCTGTTTTATCAAAAAGATAAAGCTGTCTCATTTGATGACACTGTCAGCAAAACCTGCCATAAATGTTGAGTTGAGTGCCCTTGGGTTGTCCTCATTGATAAAGACTAATTCAGAATGACAGCAAAATGTTGGCAATCTGTCTGCATTTATAAATTAGATTGTGAGATATGCAAATAATTGCTATCTCTTTGAGGAGGATTGCTGTCGGTCCAAGCCTATTTAGTCACCACAAGTAGTGATCGGTACCAGGATGTAAAAAAAACAACCCAAAACAATTCCATGCAATTACTATTTAGCCACCAATTTATTTATTTTTTAATTGTGACTGATGACTCCTGTCACTGAGCCATTATTAGGAGCTAGCTTTATCAAGCTAAGTGTGTCTGATGTTGGATTTTTTTTGTTTGTTTGTTTGGTTTTTTGGGCCGAGTCAATTTGCTAACGTAATCTCACAATAGTGGTGTCTGAGATGAGCCTTCTTTTTCCTAGTATTTACATTTATTTTATAAAATATAGATATTTAGTATCCTTGTATGAAAAGAATATCACCATGCAAAATATCACAAAATGATGCTCTATTGATATTTACCCCTATTATGGATCAGTAACAAATTGATATGATGTTATATTTTGCCTTTAGAAATTGGTCAGCAAGGTTGAAATTGGTTAGAGTGTGTGTGAAACTGAAGACTGGAAATGGAGTGAAAAGAGTTAACCGTTCATCTGATATTACTCTACAAAACAAGACAGGAAATGAAATACAGCAGGATAATCATCGTCTCTTGATTGTATTTTTAAATAATCACTAGAGCCTAGAATCACAATTAAAAATAAAACATGTTTAATCATCCACACCCTAACTTTAATATTAAATTGCAAGCATTTGTAGTTTAAGTCCTAATAAACAGCACGTGCTTCCGACATACATAATGAAGTTCTTTGCTTGACTAAGACAAAAAAAACCTGAAGCTTAAAAAAATATTTTTGTGTGCCATAGTTTTGGTGCAAACTGTGGTTATAGGCTAACCACAGCTGATTTTTGATATTCTTGATATTTTAAGCTTTATATTGTGGTTCCTTCACATATTTGTGTTATTCCTTTACATGGTGAAAATGACAGCATGTGATATTTCCATCCAGAAGAATTTGTTTGATTGTTTGGCTCTGCACGGAGCTGTGACAGCATATGATATTGTTATTAGGACATATAATTTAGTTACACTTGAAAGTCACTATGAAGCCAAAATGAGAATTCACTTTATGGCAATTGGCTTTGAGAGAGAACTACTCAGTCTCAGAGAATCGCTTAGCAACACAGTGCCAATCTCTTTCAGGATGTTGCATAGGCTCAGATTTCTAAATTCATATTTCATACTCATGACAGCCCGAGGATAGCTTTCTTTATATATGCTCAGATGCCATTTTTGAATTTGTTGAAAAAAAACCCTGTCATGTTATGAAATAACTATATAAGAAATTAACTATTGGACATAATCTTGTTTAATTAAATGTATTATATGCAAACAACTCTTAGTTATTGTTTGCAAAGATAACAGTCAACCTGGTTTCATCCTGTGTAGCTCACCTGTCCACTCATTGAATGCTTCAGTAGTGTGTGTGTTGCATAGCTTGATGAATGGCTCCTTAGTTCAATAAGTCTAATTAATGCTGTTACAAATCGGTCATTTACAAGTTAAAACATTCATCATCCAGAATAATTGAATGACCAAGGTCAGTTTGAGATCACTAAGTTCCTTTAGGGGATTTTGTTTTGTTTTTTACCCAGATGGAATTAATAAAGAATTTTTTGTGATCCTGACTTTCTAGCCAAAAGACAGATGACAGGACTGATAGCACTTGTCCCAAAAATGAATATAAAACGACCGAAAGCAGCTGGTAGTCTTCTGAGCTCCAACCTACAGGGAATTGCCAATCTCTGATTTCTCAAAATCCACCTATCATTAGTCACCACATTCCGTAATATCTGTTTTGTGTAATGTACATAAAACAGAAGGTAAAGGCAGCCAGTTCAGTTATCAGTCTGTGAGCTAAGCCAAGAAGAGCAGCTGAAGCTGCCAGCATCTTATTTACTAAGAGACGCAACACTTGCTATCAATCTTATTAATCAAATTTAAGCGACAAAACAATAATGTTAATTGCCAAGAAATGCAAAACAATCATGTGCAAAAGTTGCAAAATCTCGAGATGTTAAAATTCCCATTCATCACACAATGCTGAATCCCCCAAAATGCAGCTACATCATAGCTACATCAGCCACCCATTATTTGTCTATATTTTGCTAGGAAAATTGGGAATATAATCTTTATTTATTAAGAGATTTATTGACCAATAGTGTTCCATTGTGTGTTTTTCTTTCCGTTTACTGCACTGGCAGTATGTTTGGGATCATTGTTAAGCTGAAAAATGAATATGTTGCCAATCAAATCAGGTATTGTCGGGTGGATCATGCACATACTGCTTAACATTTGAACTAAAGAGTTCAAATTTGCACTCATCCCTCCATAAGATCTCATAAGTTCTTGTGTAATTTGGCATACCTCAGAACAAATTATACTTTTGCATTAGGCACCTAGTAATAACGTGCCTAAAGGAATTAAAAATCATTTTTTTAAGTTGTCTTATTTGTCTATTTTAAGTCAACATTAAGTGGCTTAAACAAACAAACAAACAAACAAACAAACAAAAACAAATCAATTCTTCGAAAATGGTCAGGTATGAGAACTTGAATAATTACGTTTACATTAATATTTACTGCTTTCATGTAAACTGGTTTTGATTATGCAAGATGTTTTCCCCAGTCACTGCAGGCAGGGTTAATACATGCTAGACAGATTAGCAGCAAATTAAAAGGACGTGAATAACACTGATTATGTTGATACAATAGTAGTTGATAAGGAGTGGGATACATAAGTATTGTATGTAAGAGAAAGTCTGCCCAGGTCTATGTGTTATATATTTGTCAAAATCATAGCTCCATGAAAATGTATGTGTGCCTGCTGAATTATTGTGACAGCCTGTGCAGACACTGACTTCTAAAATGTATAACAGGAACAAATACTTGGGTAACGTGTGCATAGCTGTCGGTGTTAGTGTCTGCAAGCGAGTACAATCCTAGTCTAGAACAAAGTGAACAGTCAGTTTGTACTTGATGTACTGGAAGCAGGAAAAAATGTGGATGACTTAGCAAAAGAGCAAGTTATAACAGCAAGCAGCAGGGTCAAAGCAGCCGGTTTTGTGATATGCAGTTGTTAGTACCTAATAAGTACCTACTAATTCCCAAGAAGGACAAATGCTAAGCCCATTATAGGTTTTGGGATGGCCATAGCTCACTGATGCCTGTGAAAAGCTAAGGCTGGCTCATATTGTAGTGTGAACATGGTGTGATGATCTGGCTAAAGTTCTGCTAAGAAATCCTTGTTCCTGGCATTCATGCAGATATTACACTGCCAACTACCACTTACCTAAAATTATTGTAAACCAGATACCAGTAAAGTGGAAACTCAGTCCAGTCCACAGACGCTCTACCTCTTACTCATGTCTGGTTTCCTGACACGCTAGAAGATCAAGCGGAGTCTGCGCCTCGAGGAATCTGAACTGTTTTAGCAGTACGATGTAGAATTGCATAAAATTACATCCGCACAAAGACCAGGTCTATAATTAAGACATTCATTTCCAAATTTAGTTTCTACGTAACTCTTTTTTTTTTTTAACATATATTTTATAGTTCTTTTAATTATAAAACATATTTTGTGACCATTACTTTTATGCAGCCTTGTTTTTCCACTCTGTCTCTTTTGTTTTGCATATTTTTTTACAAAGTGCAGTAGAAAAAATAGGGTTCAATTGGCTCTGAGCAGGCCAGACATAAAGGTGAAAGATAAATTGCATACCCTGCAGCATCGGTTAGGTGCAGACAGAAATAGAACACAGCTCCTGTTGAGGAAGAGAATAATTATGTTAAAGGTGAAAGAGGGTGATTATGCAGCTGATTAAACTAAAAGAAGCCTTCAGACCAAGTGTATTTCTAGAAACAAGTAGTTTTATGAATATTGTCTTGTACCTAAAATCAAATGTATTATGACAAACCTTCCCAGAGTTGAGCCTGCAAATTACTAACTCTCAGGGGTTGCAGCGAGTTGCAGAGACTTAACATGTGCTTCCTGTCTCCACTCTGCAGTGAAACATCATGACTACGCTGCTGGACCTAAAAAGTAGTGTGCTGAGGCAGGTGCAGAGGAGCCAGTCGCTAAGGAGCCGAAGGGAGCCTCCTCCTCCGACTGCCAGCAGCCCCCTCACACACTGTCCTGACCCCTTACCTCGCAGGTGAGTCAGCCGGATGCACATACATGTACAAATAGTACCACAAACAAATAAACAAACATTCAATCATATATGTTCACCGAGAATAAGATTTCCATACCCGCATTCCACGCCACCTCTGAGGAAAAGGACTTTTGTTAGGCAGAAAGATCGACCTGGAAAGGATGTGCAGCAAATTAGGGCTATTAAAATGTACCAACGAGTGAAGAGAGTGTCAAGGTGGAGTACATTGAGAAGCTCGTAAATGATGAAAATGAAAAGATGGATGGATGGATGGATGGATGGATGGATGGATGGATGGATGGAGGAAGGTTAGTGAATCACGTGGTAAAAAGATGGTTGGCCCAGGTAACACATCTGTGCAGGGATGGAGATGTCTGGGAGAGAGGGCAGTGAGCTTTTTATTCAGACTGTTTAACACAAAGTTGGAGAGTCAGAGGATGTTTGAGGAGTGGAGAAGAAGTGTACTGCTGTTGATTTTCAAGAACAAGGATGTGCAAAGGAATAAAATGGTTAAGTTGGTTAAATTTTGAAAATTTGGGCAAGAGTTGTTAAAGATATGTTAGAAGAGTTCAGTGAGCAACAGTATGGCTTTATTCTGAGAAGGAGCACTACAAATGAAATATGTGCTTTGAGGGTGTTGATGGAAAAGTATAGAGGTCAGAAAGAGTTGCACTGTTTCTTTGTGGATCTAGAGCAAACATATGATAGGATAACATGAGAGCATCTGTGGTGTTTTGTGAGGAAGTCAGGAGTGTAGAGAAGTATTCTAGGGTTGTGCAGGAGATGTTTGAGGACAGCAAGGCAGTGGAGAGGTGTGTGATAGGAGTGACAGATGGGTTCATCAGGCATTGCCTCGGAGCCACTTTTTGTTTGCAATGGTGATGGATAGGCTGACAGTTGAGCTAAGTCTCTGTGGACTGTATATTCATAGACATTGTTGTGGTCTGTCTGAGGTGGAGGTATCCTCTGGAGAGAAGACAAATGAAAGTCAGGAGATGCAAGACAGAATACCTATGTAAATGAGAGGGAGACAGGTGTTACAAGAAACTGCAAGGAGCAGAGGTAGTGAAGGTGGATGTGTTTAAATGCTTGGTGTCGACCATATAAAGCAACTGACAGTGCACTAGAGAGGAGAAGGAGAATAGAGTGAAAGGGAAAATTTACAAGATAGTAATTAGAGACCTGCTGTGATGAATGATCCTGGAAGAGTTGAAGATGTTAAGGTTTTCAGTGAGAGCAACCAGAACAGTCAGGATTAGAAATTGGTATATCAGAACAGGTTGAGTGTTTTGGAGGCAAGGTTAGAGAGGCAAGGTTGAGATGGTTTGGAAACATTGAATATTGAATTGCCAGAGAGGAGGAAATGATGAAGACCACAGAGAAGATTCTAGGATTTGATGAAGAAAGGCATGCAGAGTTATCAATAACATCTATCTAATTTTGGGTCATGTTATAGCAGCCTTCAAATCTAATTATGTGTAAAAAGTAATGTTGCTAGGCAACCAGGCGAGCAGCAGTAGTAGTTTTACATTAATTCCTTTGGGGTCAAAATGACGTACCCGGCAGTTTTGGGTAAAAGTGTTCATAATTTTTTTTCTTTTGATCCCACACATGCTAACATTTAATATTTGATAAATAAGCCATAGGAAAAGTCATGAAATATGAGATGATGGGGTTTTAATTTAACATGATTTTTTTAAATGCCAACAGGTCAAAATGACCTGCTTAGTAGTTCTGTGTTAACCAAATGCCTTAGTAAGGTGCTAAGACATCCATGTGCCACCAGCAAAGCTTCAGTGCACCATGGTATTGATTCTTGATTCAATTCTCTCTAGCTTCCTTGTTTTCCAAAAGATGATGAATGATTGAGTCTTTCTTGGTGGTAGTGAGTGCTGTTTAACATATTGATCCAAACTTTCACATGTGCATCTGGCTTGAGACCTGCTGATTCCATGTGATTCACATCATTTTCAAAGATTTAGTGGCACCTTTCAGGCTTATTGTCACTCAAGATGAAAACGTGCTTATCAGGATAGAAATGTTATTTCATAGGACAGATCACTCCAAACAACTTTGTATTGATTTATATGAACTCTTCATTGCAAGGGGGAAGTGGGCCTTGAACATCCTTATCACAGCCCCCTCCCCTCACTAGCAGCTGAACACTTCAGCAATCGTTGAGATTCATACCACTGAACTACACTTTATGAGGAATTTAAAAGTGAGTTAAGGTCCCATTTAAAAAAGAAATGTAGCATTGTAGTATTAAAAAGTTCCTGAACTACCTGATCATTTCTTTTAAAATGTGTGATATACTCCAGCCTCCCCGCAACCCAGAATTGGTTGCATGGTTATTTTACAGCTTCTGTTTTGTTTCTCACTATGGCAGAGAGCTTGACAAATAGTTTTCTCATTTATGTAACTGAAAAAAGTGCATCTTGATTTTCTTTTGTCTTTTTTCCCCCCTGTGGTATTGAAATTGGTGTCAAGGATTTTCCTGGGTATCCGTGTCAAGTTTAAACCCTAGTCCCAAAAGGTTCATTCTGTTGATCCGGACGTAATGTTTACAGTAGCAGAAACATTTAAATCCTAGTATTGTGAAACCCTAGTCTCCTGTGGATACTCAAGAGTTACTCAGCGCACAAACATGACAGGTTTTGCAAAAGCCCTAAACACCATTACCATGAGGCAAAAATAAATCTCTGCCAGATGTAGAATCAGATATATAATGCTCATGATAATCTCCCTAATGATAAGCGGAAGTCTCAAAGCTCATTTAAGGAAAAAAAATAAATGTTTTTTCCACATTTTGGCACCTGCAGTGAAAGCACAAAAGACATAGTTCAGTTGTTTTAAACTAGACCTCTCCAAAATCACAAAACACATTTAATAGATGTTGAGTTTTCCCTCATTTAACAGTTTCCTATTACAAATTGAAACACCTGTAAACAACAACTTTTAAGTAAAACCTTTACTGCACTGAAGATCCATCCACAAAGACTGTAGAGTCAGGATTTGACAAAACTCCATCACGCTTTAAATCCTACTGTTAAATAATTTGCTGTTTGTGACTAACTGCAGATACTTTAGTCTTCCTCAGGTAGCGAGCTTCATCGCAGTTCTTTCTAAGTAACTACAAAACTAGCAAGAAAACTGAGACCTTATATATTCCTCTTTTGAAGGCACTGTATTCTTGAGTGTATGAAAAACATTGCCTGGTTACTGTGGCTCTGTTACTGTCATGGATATGTCTGTATAGAGTTATGAGGATCATTAACGTAAAAGTGACACATTCACATGACAAAAGCGCCGTGATGGTGACAGTCTGATGAAGCCAGTAATGTTACAGATCCTATTTCTGAAATGAGATTATGGTAGATAGAAACCTTGTGACAGGCCAGTGAATATGCTAACCTCAGAGCTTTTTTATGCAGATAGCTAACAATAGAAAACTAAATGGATAAAACCTATCTGAATCTCTGAAAGGGCACATTAATCTAAATCCAGCATTTTAGTCACCCTTTAAGCCAGTATAGACAGTGGTTGCCCTGTATTGTTCATCTTCATGCCATACACACATACATATTTATCTATACTCTGCAGTATATCCACTAGATACCTTGTGATGTTTTCTATTTTTTTCTCTCTCTTATAATGCCATTTTTAATTAATTTCTTAAATGTGTTACCATTAGCTTATGCTAGTTATGTTAGTGGAGTTTAGTTTTTTCTTCGCAACAAGTGGAATAGGAAAAAAAAAGAGTCATCTGATTTATTTCAGTCGTGTTTTGAAGCTTTATATAAAGCCAAAAGTAATCGTATGAACCTGAGGTTTCTATAGCAACCTAAACACAGGCTGCTGCCGTGATGTGAACTTATACTTGTAATAACAACCATTTCTATTTTTAACATTGAAGATAACCTCAATCGCTGCGTTGAACACTAATCGAATTTGAATTTGAAAGTGTGATGCTGAACATACAGATTCTTTTTGACGCATTTTTCACATACATTTTAATTCATTGTATTTTTTAAGATAACTTAAAGAGGTTTATTGATTTAGGATTTTAATATTTTTAAGCAAAATTAATATCACATAATAGAAGCTGATTTGTGCTCTTTATTAAAGACCTGATTTATTGTCTTCATTAAGCAGTGATTCGACCTGACAGTATCGCACCTTTCTCTCATTTCCCATGCCAGCTTCTTGGTGCTGCAGCTTCCCCACTGAGTCTCAGCTGTGTGCATACCCTGAGCCCTCATCATTAGAGTCAGGCTGTTGATCTTTGTTATCCATTCAGACGCTTGCTGACCTGGATGCACTTTCACTTTAATTGAGAATTTGCAAATGAGGCCGGGTGGATTTAGGCTGCTCCATCCACGGTTGTTGACCCAGTAGTACAGTCGGCTGTCAGAGCCGAGCCCTTTCCGAGCAGAGACCTGCACATCGGAGGTGAACTTTTTAATTCAGTAGAGCAAATTATGTTTTTACCTCTATGTGAGCTGGTTTTTTAACAATGTGGAAAAGCACAATACACTGTCAGCAATCAGCTTGACTGGCGGTACAGCATATAAACCCACCAGGGTTTATATTTAAATTTATATTTTGCTTTTTTGTTGTTGTTGTTGTTGTTGCTTGATTACTTTGCTGTCCGCTTCCACATCCGTCAAGAGAAGTAGTCTTCATATTTCACACTTGACTTCACTGTGTTTTGAATCCCCAGCTTGCTTAATGGCTCTGACTTCTCAGTGTCACGGTATCGAGGCTCTCGTTTTTTAATAATGCAGAATAACACAGTCAATTGAGAGTGACATTAAACAGAAACCCCTAATGCAATAAAAGTCAACACCTGCTATTGCAAAGTCAGCCAAGACTAGTATATTTTTAATTTTTGCTTTACAAGTCCTTGAAACGAGCAGGACCTACCATGTTTTACGTTATTTTCCTGACTTCCTGGCTGTCTTCCCAAAACCTAGAAAATCTTAGTAAAACTTTATTTC